CCCCTCGCTGTGGAATTCTGGGTTAGTGCTCATTTCCCTACATCCCAAATGGATTCAGAATATCTTAACCAGGCCTTCCATATTTCCATAGCTACAGAGTGGTATTTATTTGTGCATTTGCCACAATGGAATGCCAAACCAATGATAAATTGTTCTAAGATAGGGGAACACATAAGATCCTGACACCCTTTGCAGCTGGAGGGGCTGGTGAAAAAAGAGGGAAGTGGTAAGTGGTGAGAAAATTTTTCATTAGAATCATAGGTATTAAAAACAAATGCCTGTGAATGTCCTTATTGAAATGTCTGGCTCAGAAATCTGACCTAGAAAATCGGTGGCTCCTTCTGCCAGGAAATGTCTTGAGCTCTCCCACCCCATGCTTGTCAGCCTCTCACTGGAGTTTTGATGCCTTGAAGTCAAGGAAACCAGTCAGCAAAGGTGTAACCTGGGCATAGCCACTTCTTCTGTCTTCCTAAAATTGTGAAAAATTAATCGGAGCTATCTGTACCTTAAGTCATATGAGCATTAGCCAACTGAGGTGGCAGTTGCCTGTGATTGCAGCTACTCAGGAGGCTGAGATGGGAGGATCACTTAAGCCTGGGAGGCAGAGGTTTCAGTGAGCCAAGATTGTGCCACTGCACTTCAGCCTGGGTCACAGAGTGAGAACCTGTCTCAAAAATGAAAAACAAAAATAGGCTGGCCACAGTGGCTCACACCTGTAATCCCAGAATTTTGGCAGGCTGAGGTGGGTGGATCACTTGAGGTCAGGAGCTTGAGGCCAGCCTGCCAACACGGTGCAACTCCAACTCTACTAAAAATAGAAAAATAAATAAATAAATAAAAACAAATAAATAAATTATATGAGTAGGAAGATCAGATAGCAGACTAGCCTTCCAGATAATATATTGCCTTATAAGCCTATGCTGATAAAACTTTCCCTTCCAACATTACTGGGAAGTTTTTTTCTTTTTGTTCAAAACTGATTTTCTTTTCTTCTGGCATCAAATCTAACAGGGAAGAGAAAAGAGGAAACACATTGGATACCTTTTCATTAACTCAGATGTTCTCGATATCTTGGTCTCTAGGTCACTGTAAAGCCCCAGATCATTTTCTGTTTGCTAAACTGAAAACCCAAACCGATGCATCTGACTTTCCCATTGGGACATCTTTAAAGTACGAATGCCGTCCTGAGTATTACGGCATCCCATTCTCTATCACATGTCTAGATAACCTGGCCTGGTCAAGTCCCAAAAATGTCTGCAAACGTGAGTAACTTACATTGGATCTTTCCCATGTCTGCCAAAGCTTCTTACTGAATTTTTTCAAATGTGGGATATGAGAAACCTTTTTTCAAAAGTGTTCAGGTACGTAGATGTAAGAGTTATTCTTGTAGGTCATCCTTGATTA